AATCCCTGGGAGTTGTCAAAGTTTCTGTTTCACATTCTGTTTCTTATTTTATGTGACTTGACACAGGTCCTGCTTAGAAGAGCCTTGGGGTTTTGAAACCTCCTTGCTCTGCTCCCCTTTACATGACATCTCTCCCTGATGTGGTTGCATGCCCTGCCTGCCCAGTGTGCAAATGAGTGCAGGTCCTTCCACACACATGGTGCCTACATAACCACCAACCCTTATCCATCAGAAAAGGCTCTGTCAGATCCAACTTGTAAATCAAGCCCTGCCTTTTCCTGCAGAACTTGCTGCCTTACCTTGAGGGAATCCCACCTCAGAGCTGTGGGATCTCATACTGTGAAAAACGCTAATCACTTGTTTTAAAATTTTAAAAGTTTTATAGTAATAAAATAGTTATAAAAATAGTAATAAAATTAGGGAAGTAAGAATTTGGATAATTACAGTTAGGACAATAAAGGACAATAAAAAACAAAGAATTACAAACTTTCAGATGCTTTCCTCTTTAAAGCATGGCTCACTAACAAAAGATAAACCTTTAAAAGCAATAGCCTGTTGCATATATATATCTCATACATGATGCATAAATTATTTTCAAACGAAGGGTGTTCTCTGGTTATGGTTAACTTCTTCCCTTGGTGGCTCCTTAAAGATGGAGAGGAGTTGGAAGGATGGTTTTTTGTTTTTTTTTTTCTGATAAGGTGTCTTAGGTATCTTGTTGCTGTTATTTCTGTGCAAATAATTTCTTGATTATCTTATCATTTTCTTGAGCTAGTTAAAAAATATCTTACATTACATAGTTCCTATTATAACATTATGTCATAGCCTAAAACTATATCTATCACACTAGTTCAAAAGGATTAATACAGTACTAAAAAATAACTTTCCAACATAACACATAAAGTGTTCAATTTAATATTTGCAAAGAGCCAATAATTTAATCTGCATTTTTCACACATACCCATAGCATTCTAGAAGAACCAAAGGAAATCATGCTGCTGCTGGCAAATGTGCCCCCATTCCCCAGATCCGGACATCCACCAGAACAGGTTAGTCTTGCTACACAGCATCCCCTCAGCTGGTTCTACAGCCCATGGCACTCTGTCTTAGCTCTTTTCTTCTGCAAAGCAATAAAAATGTTAACAGGTTGGATTAGTTATACCAGGCAGAACAACCCCAGTGAGCAGGATGCTTGGGCCAAACAAAACACAAACATGCAGGTAGAACAGGAAATTCAGCAGGAAAAAAGCTCCATCTCACTGACAGTCAGGGTGTGGTATGCCACCAGGAGAGAGGCAGAGGTTGTGTTTAGGACCTTGCTCCAGGCTTCAGTATGTAAGTACCCACTGATAGGAAAGGCGTGTGCTAATGTCTTTACAAATGAGTTGATTGGTGAGGGTCTTTAAGAGATATGGGTGTTATTATCTTTGAAATGGGTCTTAATCTACAAAGATCAAGCCGCACAAATTTGTTACAGAACCCAAACAGTTTTGATCGGATGGTCTGAGCTTCTGAGTTTCAGGATAATAGGAGAAATGGGTCCACATATAGTCTATTGCAGAACCCAGACAGTCTGAACTTCTGGTGGATCTGCAGAACAAACCCCGAATTTCTTAACTTTGGGGAGAAATGTCAATACATGCTCAAGTGTGGAATATGTGGCAGGCAGTTCCGAAAGACTGTACCTTCCTAGTAACTCCGTCAATGGGGAAAGGAAGAGGGCAAAATGTGGCTGGGAGTTTAAGGAGAAAAGGAAGCTGTGTCCTGTGAAACTTCGAGAGAGATCCCACAGGGGTATGACCCAGTGGACTCTCTCCCTTTATTTGAATAAAGTTGAAGGACTCTTCTGTCTACTTTGTGGATACTGGCTTTTCCACAGACCACCAATATGTTCCCCAAAGAAATATGGTTTTACAGTGAGTCCCTGAACAAGGTGACAGACTGATGAATTTCTGGCTGTGGCACCACTGTGACTGCTGTTGCCCTTGTCCACTCCTGGCCTTGTCAGCAGCAGGAGAATGGAGTTTGTGATAAGATTGCTAGATGGATTCTAGATGGATTCTGACTGGAAGCCTTGCAGCATCTACTGGACTTTCATTTAAGCCCCAGGTGATTCCCTCTATTTAAACTTTCTGTGCTAAGACTGCAGGAGAGGTGGCATGGTGAGACAGGATGCAGTGACTGCCATTTCCTGCTAATACCAGTTCTTGCTCTGTGGACTGAGGTGAGCAAACAAGACACCACTCTCTTGGACAGCTTATTTCAACACGCACCAGCTTTCATTCTCCCAGCCTTTGTGACAGCCTCTGAGCCACCGAGCATCTACCAGACTTCCTGCTTGCTGATCTGGGAGAAAAAAAGAGTCTGGAAGAGAGAAAAGACGCTTTATGGCAAGTGTCTGGCCCTCAGCAAAGAGAGCAGAAAAATGGAAAACACAATGCCATTGCAGAGCTGGGAAGACCGAACAAGATATCCCTTCCCAAAGGGAAGACTTTCCCACCATGCTCTCCTCACTATTTTTAGCCTCTGCTGAGAGGTCTCCTTGGAGACAGGTGTATTTCCGGATTGACACTTTGGTACCCCGGTGGAAGTAATTCTCTGCTAGCTTTGAGACTAAAAGAAGAGTTAACACCAATTGTTAATTGTTCAGTGACAAGAAGTACCAGGACTTAGCACCTGGACTGTTGTTGGCACAGCTCCTGGTCTAGTTTTAACCAAGCCCCAACCAACTGTGCCAAGTGGTGACCTGCAGTGGCATCCATTCTGGATGCAACACTGCATGAGCCAGTGGCAGTGACAACTGTTCCATGTGCCAGGCAGCAGCATGTACAGACTGAGTCCACAGACCTCTGGCTGGTTCCCCACCAGACCTTGCTCTCCCCTGGGAAGACATGGCAACAGAGGTTCATAGCATCTGCTTGGACATGGTCATCAGGAGACAACCTTGTGGCTGTAAGTCACCCTGTGTCCTCTGCAGCATCAAGATTTATATGTGAACACCTACCTGCTGCCAAAGCCAGCACAGGGCTCAGTCAACTTCTAAATCACCTATCAGCACCCTTCAATAGTCAGTGTAATGTAGGAAGGTGCCCCAGACTCCAATATCAGCATTTCTTTACCCCAGTGCTGTGCTGAGGTTTGGTGCAGCTGCTCTGGCCTCCTGTCACAGAGGTGGTGTCCTGGCTTGTAAGATAAGCCTGTATTCTAATGCCATCTGTTGGAGGTTTGCCAGTTTTCGTATCTCTTCCAAGAACAATGTCTCCCTCCGGGGAGATATCTTTTGTTAATGGGCCATTGAATGACTCACTGCATGACTGGTAAAGTTACATCATCCCATGGTGAGATGCTCCACCCAGAGGGAGGAGCCAAGCAGCCCTACCTGCATAAAATCAGCATTTTTGGGACACCAGAGCAGCCCTTCGCTGGATTCCCAGAGGAGCAGCTTTCTTCTCTGCTGGATTCCCAGAGGAAGACCAGGCCCAACTACTCCATCACCAGACCTTCAGAGAAAACTACACCCTTCTACAGATCACCGCTCCAGCAGCATTTATTCTGCCACTCCAGGAAGAGCAGCCACCATTTAACTAGACTATTATCAACATCCTGACTCCTCAGGTTGTCAGGTTTCTGACTCTATCACTAGTTTTGTTTGTACTAATTACATTTTTTTTAAATTTAGTTTTTCTCCTAGTAAAGAACTGTCATTCCCATTCCCATATCTTTGCATGAGAGACTTTTAATTTTGAAATTCCTTCGAAGCCATTGCAGAGCTAAAGGGAATCACCCCTGGCATGCATGTGGCAGAAGAAGGTGTCTGTGGCACAGGAAGAGGTCCATGACACAGGCAGTCTCACAACCTGAACAGTGGTTCATCACCTTTCCTGGCCATCACCGTTCTCCAGCAGGCTTGCTCCCTGAGACTCCTCTCAGCATCATGAGCATCAAACCAGGGTGGGGGGTCTGGAGGTGCTGGCACATGGCTGCCCAGAGCCCCTTGAGCAAACTGAAGTGCCTGTGGTATGGGAATCATGACACCAGGGCTTTGCAGTCTGCTGTGTTGCAATGGATTCTCTGATGAGGGGGTTTGCAGAGGAGGCAGCACCTTGCACTAGGATTAATATGCTACTGCGTCTAACAGACAGCACATTTCCATGTAGAGAAACTCATTCTCTTACCAATGCCAGTGCATATTAATTTTGTAAAAGATAAGAGCCAAATCCTGTTTCTCTCACTTTTGTCAACACTGGTGGGTTTTTCCCTCTTTTTTTATGTCTGTGGTTCAATAGGGCCCCTACCCTATCTCCTGCTGGCTGCTGGCCACAGTGCCTTAGCAGCCATGGCACTGGGAGGATGGGATTCTATTCCCTCTGTCAGCATTTATTTCTCCCATGGCAGCAGACAAATACACCACGCAGGACTCCTCTGTGCTGCTGCACTACAACCCCCTCCTGTAGAGATGCTGCATTGACTGACACTTCTTGGATGTGTTTGCAAAGGTGGCAGTAAGAGTGAATACCACCGTTGGCATTTTCCTTGTCCCTGTTCACTAATCACATAGTCTCTGAAGTCTTTAGAAATGGTGCTGGTTTTGGCTGGGTTAGCATTAATTATGTTCATTGTAGCTGTTACAGGGATAGGTTTTGAATTTGTGCTGAAAATATGGAGACCAAAATATATAGATCTTTTTCTTATTGCTGAGTGGTGCTTGTACAGACCCACGGTCTTTTCTGCTTCTCACCCTACCCCAGCAGGGAGGGGGATAGAGGTGCATAAGGTGTTGGGGGGGGATACACAGCCAGCACCCAACGGACCCAAGATATATTCTGGACTATACGACATCATGCTCAGTATATAAAGAGTCGGGGGAAGAAGGAGCAAGGATTTGGTGGACGGTCCCTCGTCCACAGGGGAAGGTCGGGCTCCCCCGCAAAAGCAGCGGGACGCCCCCGACCCGCGGGCCCGGGGCGGGCCGGGGCGCCGCGCGCAACTCAAATCGCCGTTCTGCCTCTCGGCCAATGGCCGGAGCACCTTCCCGCCGCCAGCCAATGGAAGCGCGGCACTCTCCGCCGCCAGCCAATAGGCTCGGGGGGCGGAGCTTGGAGTAACGCTCGGAGCGGTGGCGATGGCCCCGGAGCGCGGCGACCGCTCGCTCCCCGCCGGTACGGAGGGTCTTCCCCGGGTTTTCCTGCAGAGCCTGCGGACTCTTTTCGATATCCTGGATGATCGGCGGCGAGGCTACGTGCACCTACAGGAGATTGAGTCGCGCTGGCGGGGAGCGGAAGCCCAGGAGCTGCCCGCTGGGGTGATGGAAGGGTTGCGGCAGGCGGCGCCGGCCAGCGGGTACCTCACCTTCGAGAGGTTCATACTGGGGCTGCGGGCGGCCCTGCCTGGGACTGAGCCGCCGGTGGAGGGTGGCAGCGGCGGACAGCGGAGCGCGGAGAAGCTGCCAAGCCCTCGCTGTTCCGAGGAGCGGCGGGGGAAGAGCGCCGGACAGCGGGAACCGGGGCACGGCCAGCCCCGAGGCCGCGGTGAGTGGCAGGACTGGCCGGGGGGCTTTGGGCTCGCGAGGATGATGGCAGCGCCAGGGCCGGGGACTGGCGCTCGGAGGTTGGGGTGGGATCCCACGGCTCACCCTGCTCCCCTGTGCCCTCTTCTGGGCTCAGAGCCGACGGTTCCTGCAGGGCCGCTGTGAAACTTCCCCAGAGTTATTGTTAGTACTGGTTTGGCTTCGCTGAACTCCGATTCCGGCGCGAATATCCCAGCGCCGCCGCTCGCCCAAGGCTGTGCTCCCCTCGCGATGCGCCGGGCTATTTATAGCGCTGACAGGAGGAATTCAGGTCTTTGCCGTAATGTGTCCGTGGTTGCCCCCTGGCGCAGAGTCTGTCCTGACCTTTCCTGGGGGTGGGTGGCACAGCTGGGCGTCTCGGAGAATGGCTGGGTCCTGGGGACCCCCAAAGCGAGCAGCTTCGCTGGGGTGAAGCTGCGGTCATGGAGCAGCCGTGTGCTGGGTGGGCTTTGCGCTGGGCTGGCTCTCAGGAATGATTCCTTCACGATGTCATGCATGGTTTAGACAAAAAATGCAAAACCTGATCCAGCTTTTTGGTTTGGATCATTCTACAGCACTATTCCCAATAACAAATAATTAATCAATGAATAAATGGGAGAGCAGTACCAGGACGATGTGCTCTGCTGTCCTAGGCTCTGTTCACAGAGCTCACCTGTATATCCCTGTGGACTCTGCTCTTTCCACGGGATCTGGGCTCCCTGTGCTGGCTCTGCCAGAGCCCTCCAGGGTAGTACATTGACCTTACCGTGGGGGAGACTGTTTCACTGGCATCTTGATTTGTTGCTAGTCAGTAGAAGATGTTATAAGGAAACAAGGCTTCTGGGCTTATCTGGGTAGGTAATAATTCTTTATCTAGGTTTGTGAAGTGCTTTGAGATCAGAGGAGACAAAGTCTGTGTGCAGAGCTGGTACATGTTATTGCACCACCTGAGTGCAATGACTTCCTCCACCTTGGGAAGGTCAAGCTGGTTTGCCTTCCCAACCCAGTCCCTTCTGCTGTGTGGAGAAGAAACTTTTAACTGTGGCTGAGGTTCTCTGCTTTCCATTTTTGCCTCCAGACTAACCACTGGAGCTACATCTAAGGGAATATTATTAAGCAGACTAACTTTTTTATCATCAAGAGTGTAAATCTGGAAAAACCTGAAAAAAAAATCCGGCTTGGTGAATAGACAGCAGGTTGAAAGCTCTGCCCTGGGAAGAAGCAAGCAGATGACTGCAGCAGCTTTCTGCTTGCTGAGGATCTTTCCATTACAGGGTGATGTTCTATAATTGTCCAGAGCCTGTGGGCAGGGTTAGTGCCTCAGCCCTTACTGCCAGCATCCCACACTGCAGGACTATATTTTGCCAAAAGGCCTGAGTTTCAGGTTCATTTGGCAGCTTAGAAAATGGTACAACTCAGTTACTCCATTTCTTTTAGCTCTAGATCCTGCACAACTGCCCAGTGTGCCCCTCTACAGGTGGTTTCCCAGGGTGCAGTTGAACAGGTGGATGTTCTCAGCTGGCTGCAAGGGAGTTGGGCAGTGTTGTGGCAGGATATGTCTCCATCCCTGCTGCAGAGATGTGTGGTGGGTGCTGGGAGCTGCCTGTGGCTCCAGGAAGACCTGTCTCCACTAAAATTATATCATTTGGGTGTGAGGCTACTCTGAGCCTCCAGCTGTGTGTGGTGGCTTCTGTAAGACCCCAACCAAGTGCAGTGAGATGATGTATTGTACTCGTAAGCTGCAGCGAGTGGGAGGAAATGCTCCCTGCCTGCATTTTGGGGGAAGAGGGTGCTCACAGAGGGCCTTCCCAGCTCTGCTTTAGGTCTGAGGAGCATCTACACATGTCAGAGGTGATTTGGATGTGACTCGTGGCAAAATGGCAGAGGTTGGGGTCAGGTGGTTCTCCTGGCATGTCCAGGGGTGCAGTGAGCCAGTGGGACAACAATTCTGTTCCCTCTCCCACACTAACCTCTGCTAGCATGTGGGCAGACCTCAGAAGTGCTTCTGAGGTCCCTGCTTAAACCAGCTTCCAGCTTCTCTTCAGCCCAGCAGTGCTGGTGCAGTCTGCAAGCTGCTGCTTGGCACCCCATGGTCCCTGGGGAGCCAACAGCACCCACTGGACACAAGGATGCTGAGGTGGAGGGCAGGGAAGTCACCATAATGATGTCCCTATGTTATGGTACCTGGTGTCTTGTCACAGCAGTGTCTGAACGCATTGCTCTTGGGGGTCTTTAGCCCAGTAGTTCCCCTGTGAGCTGGGACCTGGAGAAGTCAAGGCACAGAGCAGAAAGAGACCAGGAAGTGTGTCATGGCCCTGAGGACTGGCTCCTCCCCAGCACAGTGCTTTCCCTTGGTCCAGAGGTGGCTTGGCTCCAGCAGCTGAAGAGCTGCTGTTGGCACTAGTTGGAGGGAGGGGATGGTTTGTAGGGGCTTCTCTGGGCCATTGCCAAGGGTACTTGTGGAGAAATGTAAAACAACCATGAGGTGTCTGCTTGCCCTGGACAGAGTGGGTCCCAGAGGAAGGAAGGAGCCTGTCCATTATCACATGGCAGGATCTTTTCCACTTCTGGTGATCTGATCATGTTCTTTCCCTAAGACTTTCCCTAAGAACAACTATCCCAGCTCATTAGCAGGGGTCCTACTTTTAGCCACTAGCTTGTCAGCTCAGGTGTGCAGAGCTTGGTTGGTTAACCAGGAGCTCCTGCTTATCACAGGTGCAGCTCAGCTCAACCCAACACTTTTAAGTAACTGCAGCAAAAAAAAAAAAAAAAAAAAAAAAAAAAAAAAAAAAAAAAAAAAAAAAGTTTTAGCATGTGTTTGTACTGCAGCTCCTACCAGAATTGCTTTTATTGCTTTTGGCTTTGCCTTGGGATTCTGACTGTTGAGAGTATCTTTGGTTTTGGGGCTGTTTCTCAGGTTTTTTTGAGCAGGACATACTACGTGTCCTAGGTCTGCTAGGACAATGTATGTGGTCACACCAGTCTTGCTGGGTTCCTCCTAGATAGATTTGGGTGTATGAAACCAGAGGGAGCTGGCAAAGCAGATGGATGGGTGATATCAAAGACTTTGTGTTCACAAACACTTTATGTTCACTGATGTGCTAGAGACCTGTCTGTGCCAGAGTACTTGCTGGGAGGTGGAGTGAGATACTGTGATGGACTAGAAGGACTTTGCCCATGGTGACTTCTTTCCCCAGTGACACAAAGTGACAAATTGAGGTGTCGCATTGCCTGAGGCCCCTGAGCCTGTCTTCTGTCCCTGAACCAGTGTGACTGTGGCAGCAGAGGCAGCCCTGGTACAGGGCTCCCACACTTCGTACCTTCAAGATGAGGAATGGCTCCTGTGGCCATGGCTGTCTTCTCCGGCCATATATCCTTCCTCTCTCATGTCCATGTGCTCAGCTGAGGAAACTTGTGAAGCAGAGGGAAGAAAATTGCCCGCCCCTGTGGTGCTGCACACCCTGTCCTGGGACTCACAGCCCTTCATGTGCCTGCGGCAGGGAATGTGCCAGACCTGTGCCAGGCAGCTCTGGTTGGATGTGCGAGGGGTGGGGGTGCCTGGCAGATGCGTGGGGAGCTGTGTTGGGAAGAGGGCGTTTTCCCCAGCTGCCTGCCATCACTTGCCGGCTCCCTTCTGCTCTTCTTGAAAAGCCAGGTTGGGAATGGAATTCTTGAGGAAGCCTGTGTGCAGGGAGCAGCCAAGCTGTGGGACTGAGGGGGTGGCATGAGGGAGGGTGTGCTGGGCACTTGGCTGGGGACTGGGGCAGGAAGGAAGTGAGCACCAGGCTGTTATCCAGACTTGCCTGGGGATGTGCTGGCTGTACCCCGGCTGCCCTGATGCTGTGGTTTGGGACGGTGGAGTGTCAGGGTTCTGCTCTACCAGCTCACATAGCAGTGGATTGGAGCTGGCTTGGCTGTGACTGCAGGGCTGGGTTTCTGGTGAGGGTGAGCAGTGTGGGGATTGCATGGCCTTTACTGCAGGAGCCCAGGGAATTCCTGCCCTGGCTGATAGGCAGGAGGTACCTGATCTAGCCTGGAACCTGCCAGTATGAACTTAATCTTCAAAAACAAGTTATGCATAGATTTGCATTAGCACCATGTGGTTTTAGTAGATTGGTCTTCTGCAGGATAGGATGTTGGGGTTTTAATAAAATTTTGGGAAATCTACAGTCTGATTTACATTATTGCATCATAGACATAGTGTATGGGCTGGATATCTACATGGCCAAGTCCATCACCAAGCAAGAACTGCCTTCAAGAGAAGTTGGTTTCCTGGCAGAGCTAATGCCACGTGAGTGGAAGAAAGGTGTCCCATGAGGACACGTCAGGGCAGGCAATATCACTAATGGTTTAGTTGCCCTGGCTGGGAGTGGACCAGCTTTTCCTGGAAGCTACTTGTTTTCTACAGAAGATGACTGAGATCTGTTGCCAGCCTGGCACAGCTGAGTCAGTCATCTGTTCTGCCTGGACGAAAAGAGGAGCAGGCACTCAGGCTGGTGGTTTGCTCAGTCTCTCCCTGTTTGCAAGACTGTCCTGCAGATCATTTCACAGAAGTGGCCCTGGGGAGGATTTTGTTGAAAGTAGCTTATGGCCTCCTGCCTTCCTCTGTTCCAGGTGGTGATGCAAAGTCTGCTGGGCAGCCCCACGAAGACAGTGGCTACCCAGGGGCTGGGGACACTCGGAGGCTTCAGAGAGGCCGTGCAGAGCACCGGAGACACACCATCACCAATGGCATGGACTTCAGCATAGTAAGGGAGTATTGTGGGCTCCTGTAAAGGGGAAGGTGGGTTGCAGGGGTCCCTCATTGCTGACGCTATCTCTGGGCTTTGGCTTCCTCTCTGTCCACCCTGCACAAGTGAGTTGTGGGACGTAAGACAAATCCTGATATTTGGATATGAAGGTCTGTTGATGTGTGTGGATGTATATTATTTCCAAGGTGCTTTCCTGAATCATGCCAGACAGGAAGGAGGTGGATCCTTCTCCCAGAATGGGGTCAGCTCATGAAGCCAGTGTGCTGGCTGCCTTCCCCATGGGCAGGGTCCTTGGAAGAGGATGACAAAGGTGGAGGTGTGGGAACAGATGGATCTCTGGGCCTTAAGAGCACCCCAGCGAGGGTCAGGTATGCTTTGTGCTGTCAAGCAATGGGGCCAGGCTATGCCCCCTCCCAGGTGTTCCATGTAGATCAGGGCTCAAACATGCAGGTCCTCTTGACTTTTGACAGCTAACAAAGCAGAGAAATCCACACTTGGCTTTCTTGCCAGCAAAGCAGAGAAATCCACACTGAATTTACCAAGGCAGCCCAGGATGGAGGGGTTTGCTCCCCTCTCTCCTCCACTGAGTGGAGAGACTTGGATCAAATTGCCTGGGTGATCTCATTTGCTCCCAGATGGAATGGAGTAGCTGCCTGGGCATGCTGTCCACAGGCTCAAACTAAATTGTCTTGGGCAGAGAGCCAGGACCAAGCTTGCAGGATAAGTACTTGGTGGTGCTGTCACCACTGCATTTTCGCTCCTTGCCACCCTAGTGTCAGCCTGCTCCTGCAGCCCAACAGGCCTGACCAGCAGTGCTCAGCCTGTCGCTGGCCTTGGGGGACACAATATGCCCCATGGGTGACATCCATGTGCCAGCCTGGGGAGGGGATGTTTGTGCAGGTAGTTTGCTGAGCTTGCAGCCATGAGAGGGACCTCTGCTGGGAGGTGCTGATAAGAAGTGATAAATATCGCTCTGTGTGTCTGGGATTGAGGGCTCTGTTTCTTGGGGTTTTGGGGGCTGGGGAGAGAGGAAGGTCTCTGCTTCCCTTCTCTGTATGTGCAACTCTGGGCTGGAGTACATCTCAAGGTCCCAAGCTCAAGATCCTCTGTGAGGGGAGTGTTGGCCACCTTGTTTTTCCCCACTTCTACCACAAGCACTCTTGCTCAGGGTTTGTGTTGCCCTGGTCTCTATTCCCCCAAGGTGTCATGTGAGCAGTGGGAGGGATGTCCCCTCCTGCCCACGCTCCCTATATGTTGCCAAGTGCTGCACTGCCTTTCTGTGCTTTTGACCCCAGAGAAAGGGTGTCTCAGTCTTCCCTGACACCCTGAGCACAGCCTTAGGTGCTGTTTCCGAGCCTACAGAGACAGTTGGAACAGGTTTGAGTCCAGCAAGGACTGAATCTTTGTACTGTCACCTCCCTTACCCCTCCCTGCCCCAGTGTTTGGTTCCCAAGGGACAAGGAACTCTGCCATCAGACTAATTTGCCTAAAGCCCTTGGGGAATTGGAGCACTGGTGTCTATCCTACATCCTGAAGTGCACCAGGACTGGTTTCTCCTGAGCAGGGAAGCAGAGCTGTGGAGGCTGTGCTGCAGCCCCAGGAGTCTTTGCACCCTGTCATCTGGTGCTCACTTGCTCAGCTGGTGTTTTTCCAGCCAGTGCCTCATCTGTTAGCCTTATTTTCCCATGGCCATGAGGGTAGCTGGGATGAGACCTTCCCTGAAAGGTGGAGCACTGTCATTTGTAAGCAGCCCAGGGCACAGCTCTGTCCCCTTCACTTTACAAGCCACTGAGCACCAGCCAAGTACAGTGCTTTGTCTTTTTGCTGCCCCAGATGTCTTATCCAGACCAGATGCTGCCTGTTCCACACTGGGCAGGGCTGGCAGTGTCCCTCTGCTCTGTGGGATGCTCCCTCTTCCTCTGGTCTCTGGCCTGGCCAGCAAGCCCTGTGGGAGGGAGGGTAGACAGGCAGCGGTAGGCTGCACCCTCAGCTGGATGGGGGTCCTTGCCACATACAGCACCTTCTTCATGATGCTCAGCAACAGCACTAAGGCTCTGCACTTCTTTCTCTGGGTACGTCCCTTTGGAGAAGGGTGGGGCGGGGGGGGGGGGGGGGGTTTGTGTTGCAGAGAGCATTTCCAGGAGCAGCAGCAGCAAGAGCAGCCCCAGTGTAATAGGTGGCAGGTATGGGATGCAAAGAGGCTTTGGGGCTGGCAGTGGGGATTTGGAAATGCTGATGGCCTGAAGAAGGTCTTGGTATGGTGCCACTTATCCGCAGGGTCCTGTTCAGGGTCACTTCTGAGCTGCACCATTCCTGATGCTCTCCAAAGGAGGAGGTTCTGGTGCATCCAGCATTTTCTGGGTGACCAAAGTGTCTGGTGCCTGTGGAGCCCAGGCTGTGCTGTGGGTGAAGGCCAGGCTGTGTTGTGGCAAAGAAGGCAGAGGCAGCAAGGCAGGAAGTTCCCCATCCCCTTGGGAGCTGGGGGAACAGCCTCGTATTGAAAAGAGGAGAAGGGCCATGGGGTCACAGGGTGAGGGTGATGAATGGGTCACTGCATCAGTTGCTCTGTTCCCCAGGGATGTCCCCTCATCCCTCTCCGCCCCTCTGATTGCCGGTGCCAGTGTGGCGCCAAGGGGCGGCAGGAACAGAAGGTAACAGTGGAATGAGGACCGTGAATCCCCTGTGGATGTGGGTGAAGCCCCCTGCTCTGCGGCAGCCTTGGGTCCTGCTTGGCCTATTCCAAGGGGTTGCTCTGGGGACAGAAGCCTCAGGCACCCTCATAGCAGCTCTCCGGGCACAGCAAGGACTCCACTGCTCTTCAGATGATGCTGGTGCAGGAACCTGAGCAATTGGCAGAGTTCTTCTGCAGAGAGGTGTGGTGTGCTATGCTCTGCTCAGCTTCACGTGCCTCCAGGGATGAGGCAGATTGGGGAAACTGGGCTGCAGTTTTTTCCTGACTTCCAGCCTGCACAGTGAGCTAGACTCTTCAGTGCTCACCAAAATCCAAGTGTGTCTGTTCTGGGGCTGACACTCACACCCCAAAGGGAGCTGGGGGCAGCTGCAGGCTGCCTCCTGCCTCCCTGGGTAAATAGGTGAAGAAACATGTGCCTGCAATGGTGAGCAGGAGGGTAGAGGTGACCCAAGTGTCCTTCACACAGTTTGATTGTTCTCCCAAACTGGAGAACTTTTCTTCCAAAAATCTTCCTCCAAAGCAGCGTCAGGCAGTAGTCATTATCCTGCTCCTCTTCAGCTTTTCCTGGGGAAAGGGGCTGAGACCCTTACCTGTATCCACATGCCCCCACACCTCATGAAGAAACCAACTCCTGGGACTTGAGAAAGCCTTGGTGGGGAGTGGGTGACATCCATGTGCTCTGTCCTGCAGCTGAAGTACATGAAGGAGCTGGAACAAGAGAAGGATTTCCTGTTGCAGGGCCTGGAGCTTATAGACCGGGCTCGAGAGTGGTACCACCAGCACATCCAGCTCATGCAGGAGCACCAACGGCTCCTGGGGAAGAAGAGAACCAATGCTGTGAGTCTGGGGCTTCTTCTGGCTACATGTGGGTTTGGAGATCAGGGCTGGGAGGTGGCTGGACCTGGAGCTGACCCCATGGTAACCTCCAGCCTCTTCTTCCTCCCATACTGCAGGATTTCCCTGAAGGTGGCCAGAGTCACCTGGGGCACCTGGTCCCCAAGCTCCAGGAGGTGAACCGCTGCCTGGGTGACCTTCTTTCCACTGCCAGCAAGGTGAGAACAGCACATCAGCAGCTTGAGGTTCTCCGTGTGATCTTAGGAATCATCCTGTCCCTCCTATGTTGTTGGCTGGGCTGACACTGGAGGTGCCAGAGTTTCCTCCAGCTCTGGAAAGATGATGGAGGACAGCCAAGAGGACAGCACAGCTGTCCTTACCACACCTTGAAGTGGGCTGGAGGATGCTAAAAAGGTACAGCCATTGTCAAGGGACAAAGGAGCCTGACTTCCTGAGGTGCTGAGTCAGCCAATTCAGAGGTGACTGTCCTGCTGGGTAGAAGCCAGGCACACTAGCAGGAATGCTTCCCCATTCACAGGGCTGGAGACCCTGTGATGGCCTGTGCTGGGATTTTAATCCTCTGCTGGGCTTCTCTCAGTTTTTTGTGTGCCATAGAAACATCTCACCTTGAAGAAGGCCTGGGAAGGGCCACAAGGTAGAAGGCTCAGTATCTCATCCCTTCATCTTCTCTACAGACAGCAAACCCCTCCTCAGCACTGAGCAGGTTGGTCCCTGTGACATCCCCAGCCTCCACAGGCTCCCAGAAAGCCATCAACATGCTGAAAGAGCAGAATCAGCTTCTCACCAAGGTATGTGGAGGTACAGGTGGAGGAGATGTCCTTGGGGGTGCTGGGAAAAGAAGGTGATAGGATGGGACTGGGGAAGGAATGACAGGCAGTGGTAAGTGTTCCTTCAGCTTAGCCAGACTTGGTCATCCCAGAGAAGGGGGTGTGGGCTGCATGTGGAGACGTGGAGACCCTCTGGCACACAGCTGTGCCCAGCTGTCTCCAGCTGTTTGCTGGGTGAGTCAGTGGCAGGGATGGGACAGTCCTGCCAGAGGGAAAAGACTGTGACAAATGGAGGTTACAAGAGAGTGCAGAGGCTGCAGCTGGGGGCTGTCAGGGAAGAGATGGTCTATCATCTCAGGCCAGGGCCAAGCTCACTGCTGGGGTTTTCTGTCCCAGCACATGGCCACAAAGATGCTCTGGGCGCCGAAGTCCCTCTGCACTGGAGCCAAGCCGGGACAGCTGGGGGTGTTCACCAGGAGAAGAGAAGAGCAGGGAGACCTCAGAGCCCCTTCCAGGGCCTAAAAGGCCTCTATGAGAGCTGGAGAGAGACTTCGAATAAGGACCTGGAGGGATAGGACAAGGGGGAATGGCTTCCTACTGCCAGAGGGGGCAGGGTTAGATGGGATAGTGGGAAGAAATTGTTCCTGTGAGAGTGATGAGGCCCTGGCACAGGGCGCTCAGAGAAGCTGCCCCATCCCTGGAAGTGTCCAAGAACAGGTTGGACAGGTTTTGGAGCAACTGGCTCTAGTGGAAGGTGTTTCTGCCCCTGGTTAGGGGCTGGGATGAGATGGGCTTTACTGTCCTGCTACCCAAAGCCTGTGATTCTGTGGTTCTATGAAATTTTACCAGCAACACAACCAGTTGCCAGCTGTTTCCTCCTCTAACTAGCATTTTCCTCCCCTGTCTTGTGCAGGAGGTGACTGACAAGAGCGAGCGCATCACCCAGTTGGAGCAGGAGAAATCTGCCCTGATCAAGCAGCTCTTCGAGGCTCGTGCCCACAACAACCATGAGATGAGCCAGCTGGACTCCACCTTCATCTAGTACATGCTTCCTCCCCTGCCCCATCCCCAAGCTTACCTGGGGGTTCCAAGGGACTTTTGTCCCAAATTCATCACACCTGCTGCTCCAGGTGTTGTGTCTCAAGGTCTGGGGCTGCTGGTGGCACCTCTGTGTGAGGAAGGCAGGACCCCTCTTGGGGAGCATCCCTGCCCTGCTGATGGCTTATCAGCCATGCTGCTCCTTTCCTGGTTCTAAGTGGGCTGAAGGGATGCTGTCCCCAGTCCTGTGACCCCCAGCATGCAGAAGACATGGCTGCTGTCTGGCTGCCTGTGTGGGGTGAGCTGCTGTGGTCTTGCTGATTTAGGCTGGATTTTGGGTGCTCTTGGGAAAAAGTGATGTGTCTTCAACACTCTAGCCAGCATCTCCAGACAAGCCTGGCCCTTAGAGGGAGCTGGCTCCTGCTTGTGTTGCTGTTGGAAGACAAGATTGGAAGTCCAAGGAGGCATACCTGGCCCCTCTCCGCTGCCCATGTTCTGCCTGCCCGAGGTACTGTCCTGGCTCTGTAGTGCCCAAACTGGTGGTCCTCATGGCAACCGCTCTGTTGTGTTTGTGGTAGTGATACCAGAGTTGCTGTTTACATGTCTGTAGGCTCCTGTAGGGAATGAGCCATAGACCCAGCCAAGATAGCCTACACCTCTGAGCTGCTGTTTTGGGCTGTTGACAAGTTGAGACAGATACCTTACTCTTTACTTGGCTTTACCTGGCAAATACTTCCTGATATCTGCCAGAATTAGATTATTTGCATGATGACTGTGAAAGGAGAAATGATGTTCCATAGCCTGAGGATGCTCACATCAGCCTGACCTCACAGAGGGACTTTAGAACGTGGTTTTGTATTTAACTGAGTTTGGGACAGAGCAGAGGCTGACAGGCTTTTCTCTGTGCACATCTCCACATGGAGAAATGGCAGCTCTGCCTCACATGATTGTAGAGGCTACTGCCAGGGATGACATCCTGACTGTGAGCTGCACTCCTCTGCAGGTGTCTTGAGGGGTGGTGGTGGTTCAAGATGGGTCCTATTAGATGGTACATCTCAGGGCTCCTCCTGCTTCCCACCCAGCTCAGTGATGATGCTTGAGCTGAATGACATTTGACTGTGGCTTGGTACTTGGTATCTGTGGTACTTTCATTGGAGATCTCATTTAGCACAGCCTGGCCCTCTGTATCCCCAAGTCCAGGACCTTTCTATCTGGTGTTGTTTCATGGTCTGACTCTCCAGGCATGGTATTGGGCACTGAACTGTGCTGGGCAGAAGGTGCTGGCTCTGCCCTGAGCTGACACATGCAGGCCAATTCTGTTCTCACTTCTGTTCTTATCTGTCAGGACTCTCTGTCCCATCCAGCTGTTCTCTTTGAGACTGATCCTGGACTAAAGCTCTCTGCAAGGCATGAATCCCTGGTCTGCCCTGTGCCTGGGGATCCACAGAGTAGCAGGGAGATGGTGGAGGAGGGGCAGCAAGGCCATGACTAGTCATGTCCTCTGTCTGCAGCGGTGTTGGATGTCAGTTGTCCCCTGGGCATCACTGCCTGCCATCCTTTTTGTGATGCCTCCTCTAGTGTCCAGTGCCTGTTTTGCCTGAGGTTAATTAGAAATTACCCTTTTTATGAGGGTTACCTGTCTGTAGGGATAATAAAGTGGGGTGACCTATTTAATTTATAATTTTGTCTCTTCCCTAAATCACCCCATCTACTGCTGTCAGCCCTGAAGTCCCTGCCTGTCCTGTCTCTCAGAATGCAGGGGGGGCTGAAGCTGCAATCTGATGAGCAAAGAGCCCAGAGGTCTCTGCACCTGGACATATTTCCATGTCCTTTCCCATCACCTCTAGGCTTCCCAGGGACTGGGGATACCCTGTCCTCTGCTGTGGGGCTGTGTCTTAAAGCCACCTGCACCCCTTCCAAGTGCTGTAGCCTCATCTATCTACTCCTCCAGAAGCTGTGCTTGGGGCTCACTGCTCAGGCAGTGCTGGTGCAATTCACAACCTCTTATTTACTTTTAAGTACCCTTTCTCAGAGCTGGCCCACAGTGGTGACAACAGTGGCTGGTCCTCTGCAGTGACTCCTTCCCACAGGGTCAGCCACTGGGGACCTCAGTGGAATGGCATGTGTGGCACATGTCCCTCTGCCCTGTGCTGAGGTGGCAACTCACATAGGATGAACCTGAGGCTCTGCACTGATTGGGGCACCCTCCTTTCCCAGGCTGTGGGGTGAGCCCTGCACCCTGCAGAGGCTGATCCTCTCCTGCAGGGAGCAGAGCCAAGAGGAAGACCCCAGTCCACTTACTGGCAGCTGGCAAAGGAATCTCTGCCATGGCCTCTTGCAGGTGCTGCTTAGGGCAGCCACTAGTTCCAGCTGGGGCAGGAAGAGGGTTGGTAACTGCCCTTGGTTCCCATTTCATGCCTTTGCTTGGGTGTGGAGCCCATGAGGGCTTCCAAAGAAAAAGAAAGTCATGGTTCCCTTGCCAGACTGCTTCAGGGCAGCTCTCTGTGCCACAGCCCAGGGGGGTTGTCCTTGTTATGGGTAATAAACATAATTTGCGCCATTCCTTGTATAGAATATATAATGTTAAATACTTGTTAGATTATACCTCGTTTGTACTAGCCTCCCCCCGCCTTCTCCCCTCCGAGACCGGGTGTATGTTGGAAACTAATATACAAGTAAGAAGGTCCGGCTCCGCTCGCCAGGAGATGGGCCATGGCTGGAAGCTGCGGGAGACCCCAGGCGCTGATCAGCGCGTGAAAGACCCGAGATGGATATCTTGGAGATCCCCAGACAGATACATGTGAATGCAGCGTTCCCGTAAATTTCATCACGGGATTCAACAACTCCGGACACTGAATTATTAACATATGGACTCTGAATAGAAGAAAGGACTGATTGCAAAAATCTTGGCTTCAGGCAGAATTTTCCCTATAAAAACCGCTTGTGCCAGGATGGAGGTGTGTGGGCATGGAGGAAAACCTCTGCTGAGGCTGACTCCTTGTTGCACACCCAGGGCCGACCCCGGGCTCGGCTCTGTTCTTTCCTTGTGGCTAGCTAGATAAAATTTGATTGCAAAAGAAATAATTTATTTTTCATATTAATTTGGCTGGACAAATTTTCATTTATAACATCCCTGGACAGCAGAACTGGCCCCCACCTCACTTTCTGTGAGACTGCAGCAGGTTGTGGGGTAGCCCTGGCAGTGCCACAGCCTAATGGGACCAGGTTTCCCCTGAGAACTGCGGAGTTCACCTCACGCTGTCACTCTAGCCTGGCCACAGTTTCTAGGTCCCTGATGGGCCTGACCCTTCCCTGTGGGTCTGGACTGTGTCCACTTTGACAGCCTTGACTGTGGGGGCTCGCTCAGGAGCCATGAGACCTGCATTTGGGGCCAGGCCTGTAAGTGATGTGTTTGCTGGGTGAGCATATTCCAGTCTCTTCAGGCCTTTTCCTGCTGGAACTGGGTTTGCATAGATCTGTGGCATGTCCAGGGCTCTGATAACTGTTGAAACCCATTGTGTGAAGCTGTAGTTACACTGGGAACAGATGGAGCAGGGCTTGGCTGTCTCCAGCCAGGACAGCTCCTGCCAACCCACCTCACCTCCCCACAGCCCTCCACACTGGAGGTTGTCACACACAGGTGCAACACCATGAGGTCAACATGCCTGTCCCTGGGCATTTGTGGTGGGTGCCAGGGTGACATTGCATGGGCGGTCCCCACTGCCAGAGCCTGGAGCTACTGTCTGAGCAGAGTGAGCCCTCGCCTGAGCTCAGTCTGGAGGTGTACCTGGCCCCTGGGCTGCCCAGGGATGCAGAGTCTCATCGTCTGTGTCCTCAGCTGTGCAGGTTGGGACGGATCCAGTCGCCCAGGTTTATCTATTCATACTTTCTGTCTTCTCCTGCCCAGCTACATGCCCTTTACATGTCCGCTGAGCCTGGACTCCATGCCCAGCTGCCCCTTCAGAGAAGAGCTGCTGTCCCAGCAGAGTAATTATCCTACATGCCAGCAGGAACAGCTGCATCTTGGGCCCCTGACCCGAACATTCTTCTTTTTTGCTTTTCTTCCCTGCCATATGATCAGCACTGCTGGGCCACCAGTCTCTGCTGCCCTGGCCCTGCAGCCCTCCTGCTCTGCACCTCCTGGCCTTGCTATTGTCAGTGCAACTCCTTGGGAAGCAAACTGAGGCTGTGATGACCAGAAGAAGACCCTGGGTCCTGGAGATGGTTGTCATTGGGATGGGGAGCTGGGTCATGTAGGGCTGACTGGACTAAGGAGGTGCCTGTTGCATCTCAGACCTGCAAGTGAGTGCTGATCATCCCTGTGATCCTTCAGTTAGAGTGTTCTCCCATCTCAGACCATCCTCATACTGAGCTGCTGCAGCCCTGCCTGTATCCTGGGCTCTTGCTTGTATCCCTGGTTCCAGAATGCCAATTCTGTTCTCTTGGCAGAGATAAACTGCCTTCTGCTTTAGGAGCATCACCTGGTGCTACCCAGTGCTCCCTGTTTCCCCTCTCTGCCTGTGGCTGACATTTGCAGCACTGTGAGCAAAGGCCCATTCCCAGGTGGAATAGAGAGGGTCTGCCCTCCCTACTGCAGGGTATGGTGGAGGCTGAGCCTCTGCTCACCAGCATGGTTCATTTCTGGGGGGAGTTCATTTCCCATCCTGAGGGGATCAAGCACAGCATCCATGCTCTGCTTCAGTGTCCCATCAGATCTCTTCCAGAGCCAGTGATTCACTGTGGCTGTGATCCCAGCCTGGTGTGGGTGTTCACCTCTGCCTGCACAGCTCTGTTCCAAGGTACAACTGATTGAAGGCAGATGCTTCCTCCAGGAGACCCCTGTGACGGGGAAGAGTGAGGCTCCCAGAATCCCTGCTTTGCTCTGCAGCTGTGTACCACAGGGACCATGACTTAAATTCCCCCACATTACACAAAGAGGCAGCAGCACATGGCAAATAGCCAGCCCTGGAAAAGCAGCTGTCAGGGAGCAGAGCAGGGGCTGAGGTCTTGGCCAACACCCTGGAAGACCACATGCACTATGTGGGTTGCCTTAGACCCAAAGCGTCCCTTTGTGGGACACCTGTGTGACAGTGGGTAGACGTGACCCCATCCTCCTGCTGTGCCATTGGGACGCTTCTGGTTGCTCCTCCTGGGAGATGGGATCATGCTCTGGGTGGGAACAGGCAACTGGAGGAACAGAGCCTGCACTAGATCTGGGCTGCAGTTACATCCCAGGGAGCCATCAAAACCCACTCATGTAAAAAGACCCTTTGACTGCCCTGCCTCAGCTGTAGACAAGGGTTAGGCACATGAGCCATTGAATCAGAGAATCAGAATCCCAGATGGTTTTGAGTTGGAAGGGATCTGGGCAACTTGTGCCAGGGCCTCACCATCCTCACAGGGAAGAATTTCTCCCTAATACACTAACCTTTGAGGCCATTCCCCCTTGTGCTGTGACTCCAGGCCTTTGTCCAAAGCCCCTGTCCTGATCTCTTGGAGTCTCCTTAGGCACTAGAAGAGGCTCTAAGGTCTCCTTGGAGCCTTCTCCAGACTGAAAAAGCCTAACTTATCCAACCTCTCCTCAAGAGAAATGCTTCATTCCTGTAATCATCTTTGTGGCTCTCCTCTATGGACCAGCACATCCCCAAAGTAGAAAGCCTGGACTATTCCACAGGCACAAACAGCCCAACACTACACTCCTGTGTATTGCTGCTGTCTGGCTCCCTGGACACAGGGCACGGCTCCAGACATGACTCCCACTTTGCCCTGTGCCTGGATCTGGGGATAGCACTGAGAGTAGCAAGTCCTTTTGCCCTGGAGCCTCACCCGGGCATGTGCCCTCCTTTTACCCCCAAAGCTTCCCTGCTTTGGAGAGAACCCACATGGAGAGAACCCATGGGCAGCCAGGGACAACCCATTCTCAGGCAGGCAGGTTTGGTTTATTTTGGCTACTGAAAACAACTCCTGCCCATGGAGGACATCTGTGAGTGTCTGCAAGCTCAAGAAGACTCCAGGTAGGGACATGATGGCAGTAGGCATGTCCTCTGGCCCTTTTCCTTGGGGGTAAAAAATATTCCAATTTTTATTATCTAAATTATGGCATCTTCCTGTCAATAACCTGAGGGCAGACGGGGCCGCCTGTGCTGCTAGCCCTGGGCATCATGCAGCTGCCATGGAAAAAAGGTCACAGCCACATCCACGTCTTTATGCCCACAAATGGGGACCCACATGGCAGAGTGACACAGCGGTGACGGCCCAATGCAAGCAGGAGGTCCTAGCCCTGGGTCCCACAGGCATGGCCTCTTTGCTGAAGATCGCTGCTCCCATGGGATGCTGCTCAAGCTGGGAAAGAAGCAGTTTTTGTCCTATTCATTAAATCAAGAAACCCAAAAGACATTGCCTTGGCCCCTAAGGTTTTGTTTAGCCCTAGGTGAAAATGCTTTGCACTGAGTTCAGTGCAGGTGTTTTAAACACTTCCTTTTTTTCTTTCTGGAAGCATGAGTTCTGCTGGGCAGAAGGCATACGCTTCTCTGGGATCCTTCCAAAATCTCCATTAGCTCTTCAAATCTTCCAAGACCTTCATTAGTCCTCAGGCTGAACCACTTTTTGGACAAGGCCTTGTCCCACAGGTGGATCAGCCATCTCATTGTGTCAGGCTGGGAGCCACCCCAGACTCTGTGTCCAGTGTCCCATCCCCTGTGACAGTTGTACCCTGGCCAGTTTCAATAGGCCTCAGCTGTTTTGACCAGGAAGGTAATAACCAAATAATCTAACAATACCATTATTAAATATTTAGTATTGATGGCTTAGGAAGGAAATAATTTGGGTTTCTGAGAGACATTATGGTGCTGATGCTCCTGCACCGATGCTAGCGCCTTCTGACTGTTGTCTGGTGAGTGCCTGCAGCTGCTTCTCCATGCCAGGCTGCCAGGCTTTTCCATTGGGTTAGAGGGACCCAGCATCCCTGGCACCCCTGCATCCATGACAGCTGGAGGCACATGGCTGATTCTGGGGATGTTCTTGGTGAGGTCTGCAGGAGCAGCTTCCCCCCTGCAGTGTCCCAGAGTCTGCACTGCCTGGACATCTGCACTTGTCAACTCCTGTTTTATTTCTCTATTGTAAATCCTGAGGGGGTTTTCCAAACCCAGCCATTTTTCACATTTTCCTTGGATGAGTAGACTGTTGCATCACTGCCAACTCCCAAAAAGTCATAAATCTCCTTAGCCTTCCTAAAATCAAGGAATTAGGAGGAAAAAAACACCCCCCCATAAAAACCAAACCAAACAAAAAAAAAACCCAAAAATACCCCAAAAGTTTTTATAAGCAATACTTTAAGAAGAGGATGCTTATTTCTCTCCAAAGTCCTCAGCCTTCTTAGCTCCCTTTGCTCAGCTTCTAGTGCAGCACCCAGCTGTAGAGCAAGTCCAGAATTACGAAACTAAAGGGGCTACAAAAAAGCTAAGTATTGCAAAACTTAATTGGGTTGTTGAGGCTGCGAGGCTTGGAGCAGCTCATCCCACAGGATCCAGCACCCCCAGGAATGACCCAATTGCTTTGCAT